TTCTGGATTAAGATGTAAAAAAAATTGCAAAACGTGCAAAATTCACTTCTAACCTGCAAATTAGAACGTTATTTCATTATGGAAATGGTAGGAAAAAACATTTCTGACGATATAGCAAAGTTTACATGAAAACAATATCCATAACCCTAAAACAATTATACATTCACCAATATGACATAAATCTCTCCGGACATTTTCTTTAATAATATCTCAACCAAATTCATTATGTTTTGAGAAATCGCTGAAGCGTGCAACAAACCCAAATTATTTCTTGCCATTGTACATTGATTCGACCTTACCATCATTTCCACCGAGCAACATATACTTGTCTTTCCTAGTCAATCCAGTGCATTCAAAGCCCAGTACATCACCCAGCACCTTCTGCACGTGATTCGCCACCTCGATAGCCGATTTCCCTCCGGCCTTCACTGTCATCTCTTCCGGCAACCGGTCGAGGAACGTGACCTCGTATGTGGCCTTGGGTTCATGAAGAAAAAGTAAGGGTCCCAGATTTGACCCCTCTCACAGTCGTCCCGTAGAACATGCTCTGCTTGCTATTGACTGCGACGGGGACGATCCTATCATCATTTCTGCAAACAAAGCACTGAATCGCAACAGGAATGGCTCGCGACACGTGGTCCCTTCGGACAAACTACTAGATCACCTTTTGTAATAGCTCTGAAATCGGGCAGCATCAGCCGCACGATCACGAGTTAAAGCAATGGGGGATTGGTGATAGGAACCTCGAGAGACGGCTTACACTGTATGTGACACGAGACTTACGTCCGAGAGCGATGGCGATGACGATTGGATCAAGTGCTGAACGGTGATTGCAGACGTAGAGGTTGCCTGGGGTACCCGGAGATGGCGGCGGCGGTCGCTTCCCGCGGATCACGAGGAGAATGCCCAGCATTTCGTATGTGTAGCGCACGATGCGCTCGGGGTAAAGGTAGATTGAAGTAGACGCGAATGATGGATAGGATGAAGCCAAATGGCAGCAAATGTAGGTGATCAAGGCATTGAGGGGTCCGGGCGTTGGACAAACCGACCATCGTGGAAGATGATGCGGCTCTTCAGGCGATCAAGTGGTACTGGTGATGATGATTTGCTAGGGTGCACCATGTAGCCTCCTGTTTACAAACAGATGTACCATCGTGATTGTTAGTACAAATAACACTCAAATCTTAATAACTATATTCGAAATAAATTTTTTAAATAATAATTAAATTAATAAAAAAACATAATAAAATTTTATTAAAATAAATCAAAATAAATTCATACACAATGAAATTAAAACAAAAAAAGAGAGAAAAATATTGTTTACGAAGTCCATATTTTAAGTGAATATTTTAAATTTATACAACTTGTCAATTACTGGGTTTCTATTTTGGAAGTGTTAAAGACTTCACGATTAGATTATGAATAACAATATTTAAATGCAACAAGATACTATCATTAAGTGATACTTTTGACAATAATCAGTTTGTCTTTTCCACCTAAAGAAAGCACATTTATGGGGGTGGGGTGGCAGCTAATTTTGCTGGTGGATCATTGACCGATGTTAAGAGTTAAGATTGTGGGTCCAATCGAAAAATTAAATACGTTAACCTAACCTCAAACTGTTTGGTTCAAGTAATTTTATGAACAAGAAAGGTTTTAAAAGTTAAAACGATAACTTAAAACACTAAACAAGTTTTTATTTATTCAAGATTTTATGTAAATCTGGGGTGAAATATAATATTATCAATAATAAATATTTTAATTAATATAAATATTTATATAAAAATATTTTTTAAAACTATAATTTTAACATTTCTTAATTATCACTAAATTAATCAAAACACAAAGATTGTCGTACATATATTACTGACACACATTTGCAGGTTGATACAGGTTATATATAAACAAAATCTATGTCTTTTGGCTAATCAGAGCGGTTATAATGGTGACAAGTTGATGAAGCAACAAGCAAGTCAAGATAATTAAGTTTTCACCAACCATGAATTTAAAGATATAAATAAAAGACGCTGAGCAATTACCAAGTTATAGTATATTACAGTCTAAAGATGAATCAAAGCTTGATAGTAAATATGAATCAATCAACATGAAATCTACGAGTGTAGGTTGTTGAAAACGAAAAAAGAACACTAGTAGTAGTCTGCAAGGAGACTAACCTTGCAAATTGACATGAAATCGTGATCAGATTCACGGTCTCCGATTCCAAGATCGGGCGATTCGTCACCAAACTCCTTCAGAATGGCCAATCTCTTCAATTCGCTTACTAAAACGCCTGGCTTCTTAACAAATCCCGTGGCTTCTTTGTTTTCGGGTTCACTTCGATCTCTGTGCCTAAAACCTTATCTCCACCAAAAATCCTTCACAAACGGCTCCACCATGAACGTCGGATTCGCAGTCATACCACTTTCCTCTTGCATCTGTCAAATACTCGAAACTTTCCTCCTCACATTCGCAGCATAAAATCTATCCAAAAACGAAAGAACTAAGCAAGTTAAGTATAAATTACTTTTATAAAAGGTTTAATATTCGAATCTCTTTTGCTTTTTTCTACCTGGGAAGAACAGCGCGGGAGACCAACTCGATGTCGCGGATCTTGAGTCCCGCGAAGGAGATGAAAATGAGGATTTGGATACCAATAGCTTCGGAAATGAAGAAATAAGATAGAATGACCAGAGGAAGAGAAAGAAGAAGGATAAGACCTCGAAGGAGGCTTCCCGCTTCGACGGCGATGAGCATGAAGTACGGAAAAGAGCTACGTGAGTTAAAAGCGTGCCATCGAGATCGGCGGCGATCGATCGTATGTCGATCCGTTGCATTCCGTTACTGAAGGAAACCTACCCAGCTCTTGGTGGAGCCATTTTTTTGGTTTTCCTTTTTTTTTCTTGTAGTTCTTCTGTTATCTCTGCTGTTTAAAAAGGATGCAAATGAGGGGGCGTTGGGGGAGGAGAAAAGGGAACGTTGTGTTTTAAATGTGGCGGTTGAACTTTAAATTAGAATATGCCCAAGTCATGGCGGGTCAGAATAACAGAAACGCTGAGTTCCACCGAAGTGACCAATGTACCCTTTCTGATGGGAATTTTCTTTGAAAAAAATGAAAACAGTCCCCTACTCAATAATAATTGAATTTTGGGGTTACTGCCGCTCACCACTCAACCGTTTTCAGCGCAGATTAATTAATGTTTATCACATGAATTAAATGATAATATGATATTATTGTTTGGAACGCAGGGTTAATTTTGTAATTATGTATCAGGATTTTTTATTATAAATAGAGATGTAACCTAAACCTATGAGAATTGAATAAAATTTTCTAGCACCGCCTAGGCACCGAGGACGTAAGCATTGCGAACCTCGTTAAAATTCTTGTGTTCTTTCGTTTACTTTGCCCGATTTATCAACATAAACGATATAAAAAATGATTTTAAAAGTATATATTATAGTATATTAAATATAAATATTTTAAGAAACTACAACATTATAGTATATTATAATAATAATAATTTTATGAACCTATCAAATAGTCTTAATTTTAAGATAGAATATTATTTATTTTACTTATGTGATTAGATTGAAAATTACCCAACTCCTAAATTATCTCTTACAGCATCAGTAAGGTTAAAAATATTACCACCTGTTTTTTTAATCAATAAATTTATATAATGAGTAAATAATTTCAAAACCCAATATATAATTACATTCAATTGTTAACTCAAGTAATAAATGTATAAAAGGGTAAATATATTTATATTTATGGTGTTTCATTCCTGTGATTGTTCCATGTGGGTTGATCAGCTAACTCCGGTCCAAAATTCAAATTATGTAAGCCGAAAGGTGGGTGGGCAGTTGCCACAACCCCGAGATGTATAAAATTTGATATTTTTAGATCAAACATTGGTGGCCCAACATAACAAGAATTTCACCTATATTTTCCCGTTTGAAAGCTGACCAATATTTTTTAATCTATAATATGTATATTTTTTATATAAATTTAGTTTTTTATTTTCTGAAAAAAATTAATCTTTTAATAAAATTTGCTAACTTCGTGTAGTGTATGCATATGATCAAATTCAATTAAATTATAATAAATAAATTGCATCCAATATAGTAAACAATTAGTCTTAAATTTATTTATTTATGGACAAAAATAAATGACTCGGAGGTTAAGGGTGAGGAAATTTCCATGTTGGAAAGGGCTTTCACTTGAAGGACACGACAACCGTCTTTGGGTACCGAAGGAAAAAAACACCTAGTATTTAAGGCCACATGTGAAATTTAAACGGGAGAAGGACCCATCATAAAGTGACATACAGGCTACTCATAAAATTTATTATTTTTATAATTTCTTACTATGTTTAAAATATCTATTCATTCCGAACCTATAAATCAAATGTGGTTGGATCTAAATAGGGATGGATATTGGTCGAGTCGGGTCGGATTTTTTGTCCACCCGACCTGACCCGAGAACAAAGAGTCATCCACCCGAGATCCGATCCAACCCGACCAAAATAAAATTTCATCCGACCCGAATACGATCCAATATATAACTTAAAAACCCGACCTAGCATTAAATAATAATAAAAAAATATTTTATTTAATAAAAACAGTGACTTAATTGAAAAAAATAATATATAGAAGGTATTGTAATTATTTCTAATATATATGGTAAAATTATATATTTTCGGATCGGGTCGGGTCCGATATTTTTCAGCCTAAACCCGACCCGACCCGAACATACATTTAAAAAAAACCGACCCAATCTGAACCCGAATTAAAAAAAACCCTACCTGATTGGGTCGGTTCAGAACCCGTCGAATTCGGGTCTCATGTCCATCCCTAGATCTAAATGCATTTTAAATTCACGTCATTTAAAATAAATTGACTTCTTTTATAATTATGTATATATGTATTCATATAATTGTTTTACATTTAATTTATTAATTAGTTAATTTAGATTAATTATTACATGAATGTATTATTGAAAGAAATTTAATTTAATTTAATTTATAATATAAAGATTAAATTTTAAATGCTATTTTAAAAACCTACATTTTATTTTTTTATTATTTAGGCAAAGGATTGGTTGGAGTAGTTGAAGATTTTGAAAAGCTTTCAATGGGTTTTCTGCTCTGATAGGTGGCCTTAAAAATATTTTACTCCAAGTAAGAGTCAAAGCTCATATTCCTTTAAAAACACAAAGAAATTCGATTACTTGTGAGGGATTTCGGAAGAATCTGGAAAATTCCTTGCCTCTTTCTTTCAACAATCGATGTAAAAGAAAATAAGTGCAGACAAATAAGGTTGCATTTTCATGTGATATATTTCGAGTTTTAGTCTTAATTTTATTATTATTTTGTTGAATTTAGTTTATGAATTAAATAGTTTTCGATTCCGTTTGTAAATTATTAACAATATATTTTATTACATATTTCAAATTTGTTACTAGATTAAAAAAAATTGGTGCGAGGAAAGACAACTTACAATATATTTATCAATCATTTAAATAGAATATCGTACAATAACAGTGTCAATTCAAGAAAAATACTTAGATTTGAAAGTTATTGATGGATTTGATTTATCAATTATCTATCATTTTTAAACGAAAAAATACGTGTTTGAAATATATGAATAATTGGATGAATATTTTATAATTTTTAATGATCGATGAACTGAATAAAATAATATCCTACAGTCGAATGAATATTTTATAATTTCTACTAATCTGTGATATCAACAAAACATCATATAGTCTCGATATACTCTTTGTTTACTTTACCCTTCTTTTCTAAACTAATACTCAATGTTGAGCCAAAATATAAGAAAAAAATTGTAGCCATTGATGTCAGTGTCAACACGACGCAAGCAGACCCAAACTTTATTAAGAGCTGCATTTTCGGTTTAAGAACTAATTCAACATCATTTTCTACGGTTCACGTGGCTTGTTGAAGTGACCCGACAATTGTGTAACCATCAACAACAATTGCATGGCACTTAACTTTGTCAGAAAGAGTTATTTAATGAAAATTATCCGAAATGGGGCTGATGGCCCAAATGGCTTTGGACTTGATTTCGAAAGCATTTATTTGGAGAATTTATGAGCAACCTTATGCTGAGTTACGACTGTCGAAATGGGTAGGCAGCAACCAAATGGCTTAGGACTGATTTCAAAAGCATTTATTTGGAGAATTTATGAGCAACCTTATGCTGAGTTACGACTGTCGAAATGGGTAGGCAGCAACCACCCACGCTAGCCTCACGAATTCCATCCTCTTTTGATTTTTGCTAAGACGAGATTTCATGGAAGATATCATATTTTGACAGTCAAAGATATTAAGGTAAATTATATATTTAGTCATTCAACTATCACTTTAGTTCTGTTTTTGTCACTTAATTATTATTGTTTTTTAGTCACATCTAACGTTACATTTGGTTCTATTCTGACCACCCGTTAATTAATTAATGTTGACATCTGACGTATCACTATAAGATAATGTCATGTCACCATTAAAAAATAAAAATTGTTACATTAGTAATTTTGTTATTTTTGCGACGAATTAAGACATAATTAAATAACATTAAATATGGTTTTAAAAAAATATATAATTAAATTAACAAACAAACCAAAACATGATAATTGAACAACTTTAATAAATAATTTAGTTAAAATATTATTGTAGGCAATGGATCAAGTTTACCCGTTACTCATGTTGGTATTTTTATTTACACGCTCAAGATAAAATGTTACTTTATGATCATTTGTTACATAGGTAGAATATTATTAATAATTTCATATTTAGTTCTTAATTTTTCAAATAATTAATATTTTGATTTTCATGTTTGTGTTAAGGATGGACATTCCTGTGAGGAGTATTTCGAGGTATTCAGAAAATGATTTCTGTGTTCTTTGAAACTTTAATTATATTAAATAATACATGTTTAATATTTTTTTATTAATTTGGGATAAATATAATATATTATATGTTTAAAGATAATTTTTAATTATTTGACATCAAATACTCGTATACTTAATAATCACGGTGTTCGAAATTTGGAAACAACATGTGAATATGGATATAATTTATGCCATGTAATTCTAAAAATTGAGTCAAGTGCTCGATGATGACTGATAAGAGTGAGTGGAGTGCTCGATGATAACTAGAATGTAATCTGTTAAACATTCAGTGTGCTCTAACGTGAACATTTAAATATAGGCAAAAAAGCAAGAGGTAATTGTACTTTTGAAAAAAAAAATCAATGTAACCCTCTTATTATTATTTTTTGAATGTGACCCTCTAATTCAAAAAATAAAATTAATGTGGTCCTTTTAATCAATATTTTTCGTCGTTTGACTATTACAGTGCTGACGTAATCGTTCATCTGCCACGTTTGAGTACCAATTTAGCTAGGGATAGCAATGGGTCGGGTTAGGGTTGGTTTTTGGTCAATCCGACAACCCGAAAATATGCACCCTCCACCCTAAATCCCGACCAAAAAAAATTTATATCCTACATCCGATAGGTTATGACCTTAAAAATATATATCCTCTATTCGACTTCGACCCAACCCAATTTTAGAGTATAAATCCAACATGACCTGACCCGACTCTGTATAAATTAAGGATTTAATTAAAAGAATATTTTTTAAGGAAATTACATTATTATCCTCGGGTTAGGTCAGAGTTTTTTTACCCTCTACCCGAACCTGACCCAACTCGACTCGACTTCACCCCTTAAAAAATCCAACCCTACCTGAATCCAATTTTTTAATAAAAAAATCTAATCCGATCGAGTCGGAACCCATCAGATGCGGGTGAAATTATCGTCCCTAAATTTAGCTTACCTTTCATGTTATCTGTCACATTATCAATCACCGTGGAATGTCACGTTAATACCATGAACTTTTACGTTAACACCATAACGGTGAATGACAAAAAACATTTGTCAAACGGTCCCATTAGACTTGTTGAGTTAGAGGGCCAATATGAGAGCCACCTTAATTTTCTTTTAAAGAACATATATCTCTGACGCTTTTTTCCCCCGCTTAAATTATACTTTTTAAAAGATCAACAAGCAGTGTATTGGTTCCTCGCGGGGAGAAATTGATAGTACGAGAATAAGGTCAGATACACCACTTTAAGGTTTAAAACATAATGAAAGTAGTACTAGATAAATATTTGTTTTTTAAAAAAAAAACCCTGATATTTCAAGCTCTGTTCTCGAATGAGATGGCTCTAGTGACTAGTTGGTGATAGAGTGCAGCCCCAGTGCAAGGTCCAACCCAAAAGATCAACTGTGAAAAAGGATGAAAAATGTAAGCTTATTTTACATGTCAAGCATATGAATCAAAGAAACAACAATGATAATACAAGTTATAATCAGGGATAAATATAAAAATACTATGGCGGTCGTACTTTTTCAAAGTTTTAAATATCTATATAATTTTTATGATAGAATTTTACCCCTTTTAAAATTTTATAATTTAATCTCCTAAAATTTAATATACTATTTAAAGATTCATGTTTGTAGGTAGGGGGTTCATTCGGTTAAAACGGTGGCCGACCGACCGACCGAATTAACCAAACTTTTTTTTTTCTTTAACCGTTAACCGAACCGAATTTTTTTTCAAACGTATTAACCGAACCGAATAAATTTCGGTTAATTCGGTTAATTTCGAATTAACCGATTTTTTTTTTAAATTTTCTAATTTATATAAAATTAAATATTTTTTAATTCAAAAAAGTTATAATTAATTTAAATAATAAATAATTATAAAATAAATTTTAGATAATTTTTTAATTAATTAATATTGATTTAAGTTTAAAAGTTATTGGATCTTAATATTAATTGGGTTTTTAATAGTTTGGGTTTAGCCATATGTTATATAATATATTTAATATTTTTTAATTAAAAAACAGTTTACAATTAATTTAAATATATATAATTATAAAATAAAAATTTATATAATTTTTAATTAATTAATATTGATTTAAGTTTAAAAGTTATTGGATCTTAAGTATTAATTGGGTTTTTAATGATTTGGGTTGAGCCCATATGTTATATAATATATTTAATATTTAAAATTTAATTTCGGTTAATTTGGTTAATTCGGTTAATTAATCGATTCGAACCAAATTAATCGTTAACCGAATTAAAAATTTTTTTTAACCGTTAACCGACCGAACTAATTCGGTAACCGAACCGAATTAACCGAACTAATTCAGTTCAGGTCGGTTTAACCGAATTAATTCGGTTTTGAACACCCCTTGACCTATACATTAAAGATTATTTAAAATCTTTCAAACTTGATTGTGCGATAAAATATGATCTTAATGAAACTATTTTACTTTAATTCATTTTCGTTCTACTTTCTCACATAGACGGAGAATATCGACACTGGTCAACAGTCAATCTATCATTGAGTGCGTTTTTCGTCTAAATTAGATGATATAAACCGTCCACAACCACCCTAATTCATTTGAGATATCATCAAAAAAGACCATGAGTGGAGCTCACTAGGCTCGAACAGGGGAGCTGGTGGTTCTTTGTAGATTGCAGTCCTTGTCTGTCTGTGCAGTTTGTCCCCATGGTTGTCTCTTTTGCCTTCCATTCGTTCCCCCTCAATGCAATGGAGAAAGAAGAGTTTATAATTTATAGAAAGGCTAAGCAAGAACCAATGAGTAAATAGCCACCGTTGGTCGGCCGGAAAGTGCCAAAAAGGCAAGCAGATAAGGTCAGCGATGATGTCATGATGTGAGGGTCTGAAGAGTCACACTTGAAGGAAAATAGAATAATGAAGAGTTTGAATATGCTAAAGATTCTTTCAATTGAGTTCAATGAAACAAATTGCATTATTTTCCTGTTTCGAGAAGAGAATATGGATTTGAGAGTTGCAGAAAGTAGAGTGATCAGAAATATGAGCATTATTTTCCTGTTTCGAGAATGGAGACTTATCTGTAGTGATTAACATATGTAGGGGCAATTTTATAAATGTCGAAAT